GTGTTCATCCAGCTCCATAACTTGTTATCTCTTAATTGAAGTTAAATTGCCCAGCAGACATGGAGGAGTCTGGAGTTTCAACTCAGGCCTGTGGAACAGAAATCTAGGGCTCTAAAATGATTAGTCCAGTGGCATAATCACAATGCTTCATATCTATCTGCATTTTATCTGTCCCTCTGCTTGTCTATATGTCTACGTGAGGTTCCTGTGTCAGGGAGTCTGTGTAGATTTTAACACAATCTGAAACAATATAATCAACCATTAAAAAGAAATGGCAATATTGCAGGAAGCAGGACCTCATGAAGAAAAGAATGCAGAATTCTTGATATCCTCAGGTAGTTCCCTAGGATCTCATGACTGAAATCTAGAGACTAAAGGAAAAATTTCATGACTAAAGGAAAAATTTCATGACTAAAGGAACTAAACTTCCAGTAACAGAGTTACAGTCACTTTTTAAAAAAAATTGTTCTTTCATGGGATGTGGGTGCCATTGGCAAAGCCAACCAACCTTTGTTGCCCACCCCTAATTGCCCTTCAGCTGAGTGGCTTGTTCAGCCATTTCAGAGAACAGCTAGTGGTCAACTATATTGCAGTGGGTCTGGAGTCACTAATTGGCCACACCATTGGATTGCAGGTTTCCCTTCCTAAAGGACCTTATTGAACAAGATAGGTTTTTGAAGAACTGGTCACCATTACCAAGATTAGCATTATATTCCAAATTTAGTCATTGGATTTCAATTCCATCAGCTGCTGTGTTCACTCAGGAAGCTTCAGAGAGCTGTTCAAGGAGATGGCTCACATAGCAGGGAAACCAGGAACAGATGAGAAATGCAGCCTCTGCCCCTGACACTCACATCCTGACAATTAATTATTTAAAGCAGGTCAGATGTTTTCCAGTGTCCAGCATGATTCTCTTGACTCTCAAACTGAGTAACCCTGTTCATGTTCCTGGTAATGAGGCCTTTATTACAAGGCACACAGGTTTCCACAGAATCCACTCCAACCTGAGACAGCTGCTCCAGCAGAGATGGAGAAGGGAGTTGGTTGGCTGTTGGTATTACGTACTTACCGCACTTGAAGACTCAGTGTCACTTGCTAATGGCGCTGGGCAGTTCCCAGCAGGGCTGGGAGTCTGACCCTGACCTTGATCCACACGGCTCAGCGTCCCATCCTCTGAGACCTGTGATTTCTCCGTCAGCTTATCTATTCCTGCACATATAGAGACAAGAAGCAGGCACAGTCATTGATAAAGTATTATCTCCAGGAGAAAAGGTCACTGACTAGCTAGAGGAGCAAACAGTGACCAGCTGGAGAGAGGGGGGCAAACACTGACCAGCTGGACAGATGGGTAAATATTGACCAACAGGAGGCAGTGGACAGAGGTGTTCATGAACAGGTACTAGTCAGTCAAAGGAGAGACTATCTGAAACTGACCACTGGAGGGTAAGGGTGTGCCAGCAGGAATGTGACCCATTCTGGAGGGTTGATGAATAATGATCAAAATGTATAAGGGGTAGGTGCACCTTTTGATAGTTGGTGCCACACCTGGGGCCGGCGTCAGGGCCATACCTGGGGTCGCGATGAGACTGGTCTTCAATGTGCCAGGCTCTGCTGGAGCAGCAGGCCGGGATCCTTCCATGGACACTCCTTCCTGTGAGTTGGTCCGTGAAATGGGCTCAGTCGATTTCTTCTTCTTTTGCAGGGCTTTCTGGATGGCAGCAGGGTCTGTCGGGAGATTGGCCAGTTGGTGGAATACATTGCGTTTCCGAATAATGGCGTACACCAAGTTTGAATTCCCTGTAAGGAGAACAAGTGGTCAGCACGGTCATTAGATACAGTGTAAAGCTCCGTCTGCTCTTTTAAACTGAAAGTAAAGTTCTCTATACACTATACCCACCAAACACCGAGGGACAGCACAGGGTTAGATACAGAGTAAAGCTCCCTCTATACCGGCACCATCAAACACAGCCAGGATAGGTACATTCGAGAGACACGTACAGAGTAAAGCTCCCTCTGTATTGAGCCAAGAATACACTTCAGCTCAAACCTGACAAGATCTCGTCCCATTACACCAGTGTGACTGTATTTTCATTACTAACAACAAAGTTTGCAGTGTCTCAGTTTTATCACCAGTGTAGAATGACAGACTGTGTATGCTTCCATTTTAACCTGACATAGATTCATTTGGTTTCTATTAAGGTCCCACTACCACGAGATTAATTTGCAACTTGCAGAGCGACAGTCATTGCCCAGGGGATACTTACCATCAAACTGGTACTGGATGATATTATTGAAGACCTCAAGGAGGAAGAAGACTAGATGGTGATTCTGGGATGCTGTGAAGAGGAACCATGTTGTCGAGAAGGCTTCCAGTAAGTGCAGTAACTTGTTTGCAGCAACCATTGACAAGCTCTTCAGATAGGGAGAGACTACAATTAAAAACAGAATGTGATCAATGAATTGATATAATCTGTGCCACTAATAGCGGTTTGATACAATTGTGTGACTTGTCAATCTATTTCAGACAGTAGTTTAGACAGCAGTTAAGTGTCAACTGTGTTAGTGAGGGTCTGGAGTCACATATATTCCAAGGGAGAGCATCCTGTGAATGCACGATGACACAAAGATAGGTGGAGGGACAAGTAGTGTTGAGGTAGCGGGGAGGCTGCAGAAGGAATTGGACAGGCTAGGAGAGTGGGCAATGAGGTGACAGACGGAATACAATGTGGGAAAGTGAGGTTATGCATCTTGGTAGGAAGAATAGAGACATAAACTATTTTCTAAATGGAGAAAGGCTTCGGAAATCTGAACCACAAAGGGACTTGACCGTTCTAGGATTGGTTAGGTTTGGTTAACGTGTAGGTTCAGTTGGCAGTTAGGAAGGCAAATGTAATGATAGTATTCATTTCAAGACAGCTTGAATGGCAAACAATGTAAAACCGGGTGTGAACTCACCATCACCCGATTTACACAATTGCATAGACACTGCGGACTGACCTAACCCAACACCCCCCTGGCTCACTATACATGCCTTTTCATTATCCAATCAAATAACAGTCCAATGCAAAGAATATCAGTAATCTAGCTAAATTTAGTCCTGTGGCCTCAGATGTCATTTATTTTATCCTGTTTATTACTTTCGTCCTCTCAAACAGAACAAACAAAACAGGAGCTGTCTCCCTGGCAATGGACAAAGTGCAGCGATTAGTAGATTTACGTACCGTCCACAAAGTCCAGGGACAGCACAGGTTCAATGTCCAATCTTAACTCAAATGGGGCAGTCACCAGGGTGCTGCAAGAGGCCTCAATGCCGCTCCGTAGTGAAGGGAAAGACCAAAACTCAGCTTACATTGATCAATGTCACACCCATGTAGACAACTGCCTCTATGGAAGCTGAGGAGAGTGGGGCTAGATTGGTATGATTCTTCTGCATTGGATCAGCCTGCCGTCATGCTGTATCTGGGCTTGTACAATGATATTGGACAGGGAGGGAAACAGTGTGGGGGGGGGGTTTGCAGAAAAAATTCAAATTAACTCCACCTAGATTTCCCCAGTCCCCAACCACATTCAATTCACAGAAGGTGGGGACTGGAACAATTCACAACAAAGATCAGGAATAAGAAGAGGGCAGGGTGAATAGCATGGGTTGTGATCTTAGGTTTGAAATACCTGAAACCTGTCAGGGGCAGGAGAGGGCAGTTTACGGGCATTCTGAGCGACACCAGGAAGGGCAGCAATAAGTCTTCATTTCAACAGAGTGAGCACATGTAAATTGTGATGTCATGTGAACTATGCTGCTAGGAAGTAATGGTTAGGAATCTATACATTCAGGAGATTCTGTATAGAGAAAGTGATTAATGGTCATTAAATATTTCTTTTGAATTGATGCTGACTGAGTACAGTGGTATTGTGGAGCACACGGAGATCCAGCAGAATCCCATTTCCTGGTTTCCAGTTTGATCTGAATGTACTGGATTCACTGTGTTCAGTCAGCACCACCTAGTGTACAGTCTGTAAATCTGTATGACATTCCAACCTCCCTGATTAATAAAGGGTGGATTTTAGGAATAATCTGAGCTGATACACAGAAGTATATCCTGGAAATGTGGTTTCCCCTGTTCTTTCAATTCACTTCAATGCAGAGGACAATATGCAGACGACACTGAACCTTGCGCCCCAGTTTGCAAGTTGGCACTAAATTACATACATTTGTCACATTTGCCCTTCCAACTACAGAATGCATAATGAACAATGAACATTTTGGCATAAAAAATAAAAATAAGAAGCATATTATCTAAACGCCGAGAGATTGCAGAGCTACGAGATGCAGAGGGATCTGGGAATCCTACTACATGAATCACAAAAAGTTAGTCTGCAGGTAAAGCCAGTAATTAGGAAAGCTAATAGAATATTATCATTTATTGCACAAGGAATTAAAGCCAGAAGTACAGGGATTGGCTTTCAATTTGCAGAGCACTGCTGACACTACATCTGGAGTACTGTGCACAGCATGTGTCTCCTTACTCAAAGAACTGGAAGCAGTTCAGAGCAGGTTTATTGGACTGAGCACCCAGAATCAGTATGTTGTCCTTTGAGGAAGCTTGGACAGACTGAGCTTGCATTCACTGGAGTTTAGAGGAGCGAGAGGGGATTTTATTGAAACATATGGGATTCTGAATGGTCTTAACAATGGATGTGAAAGGGATGTCTGCTCTTATGGGGAAACTTGGAACCGGTGGAGGGGGGGGGGGCACTATTTAAAAATAAAGAATTGAAGTTTAAAAAAAAAACCCTCAAAAGGGTTGAGGGTCATTGGAAAGGCTCCCTGAAAAGGCAGAGTCCTTGTACATTTTTATCGCAGATATATTCTTGTTAAGCAAGGGGGGTGAAAGGTTATTTGGAATAGGTGGATTACTATAAGATTACCCACAACCTTACTG